TTGAAGTTGTCCCAATTCAATTGCACTCCTCCATCAATCATCCTTTGAAGTGCTCCTTCCCACCAAAAATGGGCATCAGTAGTCAACATGAAGCTAGCCAACCTCACCTTCTAAGCGAGAGGACACTCCATGGCATTGAAAATCTTCTCGATCTCCATTAGCCAATTCATCGCAACATCTGGGTCATATCCTCCTTTGAAAGTAGGTGATTGATTTCGTTGAAATTGCTCCAACCAGTAGGAGCGACTTCAACCCTATTGTTGTTACTCATAGCTTGTGCCAACACTTGGAGGGCATCAGCAATCGCACGATCCTTTTTTATTTTTTATTATTTTTTATTATTATTTTTTTCCTAGAACGCTCTTTGCAGGTTTTCATTCTAGCAGATTCTTCAAGCAATGTTTCTCTCTTGTTGAAATCATTTTTCGAGAAAGCTCTATTCACTTTGCCTTAGTGTTTGAGGGATTCGTCCTCCTCAGATTCTCTTTATTAGCTTGCAACTCGTTGGGAGTGTGGATCCATCCATTCCTAGTCGTTTCTCCTATTCCGCTTGGATTTCACGGTTGCACGACACGCTTTATCCTCTTGGGGTAAAAGTTGGCGTCTTGAAAACTCTTTATGCATATGGCTTATATCCCATTACTTTCGACTAATGCACATAGGTTAATTTCCCTTTTTATTTTCGTTTATTCTTTTACAAGGAGGAATTTGTTCTAAATGAATGTAATGCAGAATATAGAGAAAGTTGAGAAAAATAAATATCAGTCTCATTGATTTGTTTATCTGTGAATGCTCAAATATTAAGCGAGAATCTATATTAGATTCTAAGAAGACTTACTTTAACAAACATATCAAAGTAAGGGCCCAACCATAGTATTTTTGGGCTTTTCTTTAGAACGCAGGTACTGTCGTATATTAGAGCATTCACTTTTCTTAACTTTCTATACGTACTGCAACCTAATCCTCCTTAGCTAATAAAATAAAATGAATGAAATTAATGAGCTAATTTAGAATGCATGTCATATTTTTTGCGTAATCTTTATCATGTTTATATTGTCTAAAGGGAAATGATGCATGGAGATGAGATTTCTTTTATTATTATTTTTTTAAAATGAAACTACTTATATGATGCTATGATATGATGACCTACGAATGTACAAAAAGGGGTATAAATTTCTCTATTTTTTTATATTTTTTATCAGTTTGCTTATTTTAAAAATTTAATCCACTCTTATTAGAACAAATAATGCAAACAAATGTACACACACATGCTCAATCAACATACACCCGCGAACAGTCACGTTTAAATCCTTGGTCTATGGTCCCTACAAGAAAAGTGCATTGTATAGGACAATTCTAATCTCACTGGTCTTAAGGCCCCCAAGGTGCCCCCATTATAGGGACCCGGTATCTCTGTCCCTGTCACCTGGCAAACTCTAAGGTCTGTCGCAGTATTTCGGGCTAGAGTAACCGGTTATCACCTTGAGTGTGATTTCCGACAAGGCTCGCAGGCTCCAAGGCCAAACTTGGGCCGGTCGTACGTCAACCACTCCCTATGTTTATTACCCTCATGCCCTCGGGTGTAGGGGGAACTGTTGTGTGCAAAGGATTGTGTACAGTTTTATTAAAACAGGTGCAAAATTTAAACAAACAGATATTAAAGCCAAACAAATAAAACAAATAAAGTAAAGGGAAAAAATATTTAAATTATTATTTTTATTTTATTAACTTCATCAATTAAATGGGTCTAACCCTCTTTAAACGTCCCCAGTGGAGTCGCCATCTGTCGCAACCCAAAAATTTCCGATCTCGCGACTAATGGTTTAGACATCCTTTTAAAAGTCTCATTAATTAAGGAATGCCCGGACACCAGACTAATCCTTAATTAATGGTTTT